TATTTTTTATTGTACACATTTCCTATGGATTTGCCCGAATCCGATGGGATTTTTTTTTTCTAACAGGTTTTTCCTCTTTCCTTTAGTCCTTTTTATTGACTTTTTTTTTCATCTCAGTGCTTATCCTTCGTTGCTTTACTTCTTTATGTTTTTGTATTTTTCTTTTCTTTTTCTTCTTCCTCCTCCTCCTCCCCCTCCCCCTTCCTGCCCTTATACTTCCTCCTACCTCCTCCTGCCAACCACTTCCTTCTCCTCCTCCACCTCCTCTCCTCCCTCCTCCTCTTCTTCTTCTTCTTTTCTCCTCCTTCTCCTCCTCCTCTCTCCTCCTCCTCCTCCCCTCCTCCTCCCTCTCCTCCTCCTCCTCCCCCTCCTCCTCCCCTCGCCCTCCTCCTCCTTCCTCTCCTCCTCCCCCCTCGAGCCTAGCGACAGAGGTACCGGTCCTTCGGTTCTTATTGTGCATGCGCGGGCGCCGGCAGCAGGATATCAGATCACCGGGGCCGCGTTTGGGCGCCTGTGGGACGCGGGCGCCGGCAGCCGGGCCGCCCACGAGCCGAGGCGAGGGTGACGACGTGTGATGAGACGATGCAGGCTGGTGCAGGTCGGCGATGTAACCCTAGTCGCATTGTGCCCTGCTCTTCCTCCCTCGCCCCCTCCTAAGCCTTCCGTCTTCCCTCTTGTCTCCTGCCTCCTGCGCCTTCCCTCTTTCTCTCGTCTTCCTCCTGCGTTCTCTCTCCTCTCGTCTTTGCATTTCTCTCTCTTCTGCCTCCTGCGCGTTCTCTCTTCCTCTTGTCTCCTGCCTCCTGCGCCTTTCTCTCTTCCTCTTGTCTTCTGCCTCCTGCGCCTTCTCTCTTCTCTTGTCTTCTGCGCCTTCCCTCTTCCTCTTGCCTCCTGCCTCCTGCGCCTTCCCTCTTCCTCTTGCCTCCTGCGCCTTCCCTTCTTCTTCCTGCCTCCTGCGCCTTCCTTCTCCTCTCCCTCCTGCCTCCTGCGCTTCTCTCCATCTCTTGCCTCCTGCCTCCTGCGCTTTTCCCTCTTCCCTCTTGCCCCTGCCTCCTGCGCTCCCTCTCCTTCCTCTTGCCTCCTTCCTCCTGCGCCTTCCTTCTCCCCTTGCCCCCTTGCGCCTTCCCTTCTTCCCCTTGCCTCCTGCCTCCTGCGCCTTCCCTTCTTCCTTGCCTCC